ATTCCATGTTTGTTATATTCACGGAACGATACTCGTGTATATTTGCAGTCGTCCGAATCTATACCGAAAAAACGTGATTCTGCCAGCAATCACTGTCTCGTTGTTTATTTTTTCATCGATATCTACTTTTGATTTACAGTTGATCCTGTTTTCATGGACGAATCCAATGACAATATAATATTATAATATTTGTTCAATATAATGATTTTTCAATCGAGAGATACAATTTTAGTGCATGCTCCATAACTTGTTCTTCTGTAGTAAAGTATCTTCATTTAATGCTTAACAATATTATTATACATAAAATGTATCATTAAATTGTATGATTAAGTTTATAAATTAATTTTATGAGATATAATACAGACTGTAGGTTTTTATTCAATACTAACAATAATTTAAAATATTATCTTATTGTCGATATAAAAATATCACTCGCTGGATAATGGAAAAACCCTTTAGTAAAATAATAACTTCCCTGTGTAATGGCAATCTCAATATTTCAATAAATACTTGTTCCGATAAGCATAACAAACTGATATAACAATATTTATTTTCTTTCTCCGATTGTAAGTAACTTCAGTATTATTCTTCATCAAACTATATTCAATTTTCAAATTAAAAAAGCAATAACACAAGAAAAATCTCTAGATTTAATAAAAGATGCATAATACCTCAATAAGAACGCAAAAAGTTAATACCAGATTTTGCATGTGAATGAATGCAACGTATAAATGACAAGGAACATTATCAACTATCGTTTAATTAAGATTCCGATTGCGTATCGTGACTTTCGCAACTGCTTTAATTGCGGCGTGTCGGACTAAAGTTGCTTCTTTTTCCTATTTGATCTGGTATACCAATAACTAAGTTTTACGTGCCTCGTTCATCATATTCCATCAAACACCCAGGAGCTCGCCCATTCAGTCCGCTTCCCTTAATCTCGCCTCCGCTTTCCACCAAACGCGTAGATTAAAGGATTTACGAAATTAGTTTTACTTCCTCGCGTCGTCTACAAGCACTGCCGGATATTACGTTCGAAGACCAAAATCAAGATTGCCGCGCGCCAGTAACCTCCTTCTAATGTAATATCTAATATAATGGGTGTGAGCACTTTGAAAAGTAAATGAAGTCTCACAAATAATAATTTTCACGGATGCGTGCATTTTATGTATATATAGAGCAACGTGAGTTACATCTCGAAGCTGTCTCGTACCCTTGAGTGTCAATATGAATCTACTTCACACGCATAAAAAATACATTCTAGCACTAACGACGGTCCAATGAACTAAAAAGAATAATGCAATAAGTTAGGATAAGTTGTCTCATATGTTATTCCGTTATCTGTCCCCCCCTAATATCTACTTCATCATCTTCTTCATCGCTTCTATATTCCCACGTTTCATCGATTCGTCTTGAGGTCGAACAAAGTAGGGGACGTTGCGCGCATCGACGATAGGGACGAACTCAATTAATAGCGATAGTCCGACTTATATTATATTGCTTGGTTGCGATATCCAGCGAAAAAGAGAGAAGAAGAGCGACAGAAAGAAAGAGAGGGGGAGTCCAGTAGTCCATCTCATGTCTGTCTGCATTTGTTCCAATTCACTTGCTGCCGATTACCGCGCTGCCTCTCCGCGCCGATCCCACATCGTCGTCCTATCCCATTTTCATCCCTATTCTCCCATTTCCTCTGCGCCGACCTCTTCTCCCGAGCCCATCTACCACTCGACTCGGTGGATACAGCGCAGTGTCACGTAACCGCACTCGAAATGTATCGAAAGAGGCGATGTACCGACAACGTAATGACTCGCCTTTACTAGCCCGCAGCTTCTCCTGCTTGTTCCATTTCGTTTCCGCGTACCATCCTCTCATCCGCCTATTTGATACGCACTTTATTGTGAATCAATATTATGCAGCGCTAATACAATCTCTCTCCAACGTTTTTCACCTTTGGAAGAATGTTTGCGCGGTTATATTATTTCGAAATCTCATCATTTATTAATATATCTTTTGTCTGCTGGCAATATTCATTGTAATTAATAATGAAAGAAACGGTCAAGAATTTTATTCGTATTATTCGTTGTTTGCACAACTTGACGCTGCACAATAGATATTAAAATTTTCATCGTTTCTTTGATAGTCTCTATCGTTAATAATAAATCGCAGAAAAACCCCGATAATTACGACAAGTCGCTCCACGCGCGAAAAATCAATAAGGTATCCCATTAAAATAATAAATTAATAGTTCTGATATTTTCCAAATCACACTCACATTTCATCCTCCTTGGATATTTCCTAACAAGGATATATATGTCATGTCATTATCATCTCTACGATATAATGGAAAGAGATCTCCTCTTTCCTATGCCTTCTTAGCTCGGATCAAAATACCTATTATAGCTCTTCATCAGAAATGGAGGAAAGTACAGTCTCTTTATTAATGATATCCGATGTGTCACGTTACAAGAGGGCCCTAGCGTGTCGATATGGATGGCAGCTCTTAATCTCCGTCCGCATAGTCATCAATATATTGATGTCCAGCCGTGGGGGTCCTGTCTCCAGGCTAGCCTGGACCAAGCCGGCCTAGACATTATATTGCCAGCTCATTACACCAGCAACGGTTCATATCACGCTTTACTACCTTCCGGAAAATGTTGTCCTCCGAAATGGCAATGTGTGCAGAAATCTCGCGTATACGATGACATCGTATAATATCGTATATAACGGTGCTACGTGTATTATCCCCAAGAGATTATATAAATTGGTAATTTGGTACGGCGAAATAAATACAATGACAGTCTACGGGATTATTACGCGAGTACACGCCTATCTGTTTATCGGGCCGTTTCATTCGCGTTAATCAAATATACGTTTATATACGTTATTCAATATATGGATATTGATATACATTCATATGTGTCTTTTGTTCATATTTTGAATCGCCTTTTCTTTCTCTCTCCTCCCGTGTCGATAAATTTTGAAATCGATCAAAAACAACGCATGCATTACTATCGTTTATGAACGCAAACGTAAATCTCGAGATTGCAATCATGTAAAATCACATCATCGATTTATATTTGTATCAAATATTTACAGATCACTATACCACATCGTTACGTTCTGCGGATAACGACTGGTCGGAGAAGTGTCATGACCGAAATGAATAAAACAAATTCAAAGATACATATCATAGCAAAGTGTGTTCTTAGTATTAACGAGAACTAAAAGCCGACTGCTTTCTCAGCTAAGACTTGAGATCTTCTAACCGCGCTTGAGCTCTCCATCTGACCTCCGAGCATTTTCAAGTTACTACATACCACGGACTCTTACCCGATGTATTCTCAAGGATTTCAGAAGATGAGGTTAAGCCATGGATAAATTTTTAATGGTCAGATGGAAGTTCCAGCTTCGCGAAGTAATCGTATGGTACACGCGAGATATCGGATAGAAGGATTAGTTTGAAATTCAAAATAACCAAATCATTATAGCTTGAAGAAGACGAAATTTCGTAATTTTTTTGTACCCAACAAACGAAAAGTGATATTACATTTGCGTTACATGATAAAATATATTAGCAAATTTTGAACATTTAAGTTCTGAAAGTATTTTCTCGGGTTATTATGAATGAAAAACAAATTGAAATGGAATTGATTTGATAGTACTGCTAATTCCTCCGAGTTGCTATCTTTGTGCGAATGTTATTAGCAGTTTTAGATTACGAACAAAGATTATATAATGGAATCCTTATTCGAGTGTAACGGCATATATGTGGGAGTTGGAAACTCTAAGACGCTAACGTACAGGATTAGATATCTGGAGTTCTCGTAGGGGCCTCGAAAATGGGTTAAAGCAACAGTCATTAGAAGGTAATGCGAAAGTTTCGTTGAGAAAAAAAGCAACGGTCTACCGTTTTCACTTATTCCATCACATCAGAAACTTATACACTAGCGGGCGTCGTAGCTATCAGAAGGAATGAATAATTTAAAGATGTCGGATCGTATGATCGGAATTCACATGTCTGGGAATCGTTTTGAACGTCAAATTACGAAGGGGTGGGAGGGCTCTCTCTTCGAGCGATCGCTTGAATAATTACGTTACAGACAGTCAATCCATTTAAATCACTCTATTGCCGACAAATGGTTCATTAAAATGCAGCAGATCGAATTCCTGTCGCGCCAATTGCGCAACGTAGCGCGCGGGAATATTCTGATAAATTCTAATAAATCTTGTCTCGATGAACCTACTGCCGACGGTTGAGAAGGGTCGCTAACGCGTTTGTAGACAAAGTAAATTTGCATTAACAAAATTACTTTGCATCGCAAAGTATATTTGATATAAGTGCAATTATTAACACTCACAATTTTACTCACAATTTTATTTATAAGACTTTATATCTCCGTTATAAAATCGTCATAAAATCTGTTTTACCAATCGTTATTTAATTTATTTGAAATTAGAAAATGGAATCTTATGAAATATATTTGTACAAAGATATATCTTATATATTGGATTTCTATTTATAAAGTAGAACAGCTTAAAATTCCAGCTTTTGTATACCTATATCTATATAACATCCAAATTTAAGATTATTAAGATCATTAAGATTTAAAAATATTGTTAAAATATATGTATCTGTCTTTTCAAAATCTTTGTTTACTATATATAGT